CCCCAAAACCCCAAAACCCCAAAACCCCGAACTAGATAAAAATAGTAGAGTAAAGTGAGGGGAAAAATAAAAAAATATTATCTTAAAAGATATTTTCAATTTTATATGTTTATAAGATTCCTTGTAATTGTAAAGTAATAACTATATTTATTCAAAATTGAAATTAGATTTAATTCTTACATTAGATAAAACATGTTGGTGATCAAACTTATATTTCTATTTTTTACCTATTTCAAGTAATTCATTTGACCTGTGAAATTTTTAGATTTTCGGCTTCGGCTGGGGCTGGGGTCACATGCTTTGATGACAAACAGTTTCCTTTGAAATTCGGGGATGGAACCACTGGCGATTTCTCGATAGAGTTCATAGATCTGACTCTAGACTAGAAGATTATTGTGTTCGCAGGCTATGGATATTCCAATAGTACTTTTACAAATATCCCAATCATCGGAGCATACGTCAAGTATGATTTAATCAAGAAAATTACTTGGCTCAAAACTCTCAAGTCTACATAATTAGTATCGAGAGTATCCGCACTTGCTCTTAGTCATAGTCAGGAGTATTTACTCGCTACTGTTTCTAATATGTTTGGACTACTAATTTTGGATGCGTATAATGGTCAAATGATTCATTCAGGAATAAGTGATACTCAAACTTATGATGAAATACCAAATTATGGGGCTCTTATGGATAAAAACAATAATATTTTTGTGACTTACTAAACTTAGACAACATAGAAGGTTATCATTCAGAAATTTTCGTTCGATCTCAAATCGACTCTGTGGAAGCAGGAACTTCTTCCATCAGGTAAGCCAAGTGTCATAAAATACAGAGAATCAGACGAGAAAATATTTGCTCTTGCAGATTACTATTATTCAAGCACTAGTTCCTTTTAGAGAAGTTTCAGTTTGATTAAAATAGATATCGTAACAGCTGCAGCTAATTTATGGAATATTGAATTCACCCTTGGTGATTTCACTAATGCAAAGACTTATGATTTAAGAGTAGAGGGAAATTTTGCAGTTGGATGCTATTACTCAAACTAAGTAGCCGGCTATCTAGCTTTTAATGAATAGACATCCTAATATCAGATGAGGCACTTTTCAAACGGAGCAGGATTTCTATGTCTTGGAGTATATCTGCTGCCCAATTCTACATTTGCTTTTTTCTACCGATTATTAAATGCAGGAGTATAATTTAGATATTGGATAACATATGATCCATTTAATGAACCTAATGATAGCTTTGACTTGAAGACCTTTGATTATTCTGCTCTTTATCCTAGTTCTTACAAGTTTTAATATTTCAAATCAGTCGGCTGGATGAACTTTTACTTCATTGGAAATGATGGGATATCTAGAACGAAAGGATTTATTGAGTCTAATTTTCCAGAGTAGACTTGTAGAACACCTCCAGTACTTTCATCATTAGGACCTCGAAACAAACTTAACTCAAGCCCGACCATGTATACATCTTCTAAAGCTGGTGTAAGTAATGGCTTTACAAATATGGTAATGCTGATCTACACTGTTGATACAACAAAGGGGGTTTTGACTCCAAATGGTTATTGCTCTTAGCCCTCTACGGTAACCATATCCAATCCTACTGGCTATACCACCTCTATAAATTGCTTAATGAATCAACCTTGTAATGTAATTATTGGAAACTATATCTCCCCTTAAGGCTGCACTGATGCTCCTTAAATTGTGTACACAATGGTAGACACTTCAAATGAAAGTTTTCCGATAGTATATCAGTAACCAATGACAGCTGACTTTGTGAATATAACTTTCAATCCTGGCTCACAACACATTGGTAATAGGCAGTACAAAATTATTGCATAAATGCTGATTAATGGTTCAATGTATACTGAAAATTCCGATGTTACTTTCAATATCACAGTATAAGATATCTGCCTTACAAGCTTTTAATTCCTTAATACTCCTTATGTGTAAGACTATTACTACCTAATAGGCAACTCTCCTATTATAGTTTAGTTTGAAGCAGTTGCCTGGACTCCAGCTACTTGTGCAAGTGATATACTTTTTACTAGCAATCTTCCAGATTTTATTACTTTGAATAGCTGAACTTGATAATTTTAGATTTACTCTTCAAACGTGTCATATGTTGGGTTTTATCAAATATCGGTTACTGGAACTCTATAAAACTAGTACCAAAATCAGTTATACTTTGATTGGAGACTTTATGTTTAGGATCCCAGATTCGTGATAACAGAAAACACTCCTCCTTACTTCGTGTCTCCACTTCAAAAATAAGTACTTACTTGCAATAAAAAAAGCTAGTATACTTTGCCGAAGACTGAAGATTATGAAAAGGACAACATCTTAACATTCGTTGATCTAGGCCCAGCTTCTATTTTTGCAGTGCTAGAGAAATCGAAATTTATATTTCACCCAATTTGTACAATTGGTGGATCTGATACATAGATTAAAATAACATTACAAGACGATAATAAATACTCTAAGTCGAATATTCAATTTCTCTAAATTTAACTCAAATCAGAGTAGGAGGTTAATAAATGCATTCATGATAAAGAACTAACAGCTAGAATATCTCTTGTGACTAATAAAGGAATGGTGTATGTTAAATTTAATAAAGATATAAAGAACGATACGGACACGCAGTTTCAGATTGAAAATAATCTCAAATTCAGAGTGATAAAAGCATTCGGTTAGGGTGTTTAAAATATAAAATCATATAAGGTTGCATCAATGACTAATAGAATGATAAGACTGAAGGTTGAATATCAAAATCCATAGCAAATATCAAACCTGGGGGTAAGAATCAAGCATTCTTCATAATTTAAATTAATTTAGGAATGGGACTAACTTAGTATGATAATTTAGGACAACAGTATAATAATGACTGTTATAGATTAAAAATGTATCAAAGATGGAGGTGTCTATCTTAACAAAATTCCACCTTAGCTTTTAGACTCAGGTATTTTAGTCTAAATTTTTTGTTATAAAAAAATCTTAGGAATGTTAGCAATTTTGCAAGTTGCAGGATCTGTAGTGTAAATTACTCTCTCAGCCATATTAGGTTCAAATTTTTTGCTTACATTCTTATTGTAATCATTAGTATAATCCAGTTTATATTCTTTAGCGGGATGGGTTTTCAATCTCTTTGGGGCTTATTTAATAGTTTTTAGATCATAACTCATTTACCTTTAATGGCTATACAGCTTCCAGCAAATGCCATATTCTTTTATAATTTGATCTACGACATCTCAAATTTTAACCTAATCCCAGTTGATAAGATGAATGAGTTGCTATTTGATGATTAGGATCTCCCTAAGGATGATCCAGAAGATGACTCAGACGACTATTACCCAATCAATATATACTTCTTTTAAATGGGGTATGAAAGCTTTAATTTCATATTGAACACAGGACTTCTATTCTTTATGACAATTCTCAATAGCCTCAGTTTTATTTTGGTATCAATGCTAACTCTTTTAGCATTTAAAAATAAGTTGTAAGATATTTTCAAAACAAAATATTATTGATAGGTTGAAAAGAGTTCAAACTCATTTTAGAGAATTAATAATTTATAATTCTATTCTGAGATTTATTGAGCAAAGTAGCTTTGAATTTGGGATATGCTCTCTGATTAATATTAAAGAGGTAAGACTACTTTATCAATTTGAGAGTATCTCTTAATCGCTTGAATATAGAATAAAGGAGGGTTTAAGTAGTTAGATAAACTAGGATTAATAATGTCTTGGATAATCATTTCAATAGTCGCACTTTCTCCTTTTTTGATGATAATAATCCTCTAAATTAATTTCAGCAAGTTAAATACAATTCAAAAAAGAAACAGTATCGGCTCATTGTATGAAAATCTTAGATTAGAATCTAGATGGGTTTTGCTTAATCTCCCTCTTTAAATTATTAGAAGAAACTTACTTTCACTCATTTTCATTTACTTTGATGGAATTCAGGTGGTTCAAAGTTTTTTTGCTATAATGTCCTCACTACTTCTGATGGTTTTTTATTTAAGAGTGAAACCCTTTGAGAACTACAGCCAGTCAATGATTGAACTTTTCAATGAGGGATGTGTGCTATTCTAGTGCTATTATATGCTATTGAATACTGATAATGATCTAGTTAGTTCTACTGATAATGATTTAAGACTTAATTTGGGATGGTTCACTGTTGGACTTACTCTCTTGTACCTATTAGTAAATACTCTGATTGTCCTTGTTTAGATGTTTGGCTAATTATCTTAAACGATAAAGTAAAAATGTAAAAAGCCGGCTAAAACTTAGATTTATCAACTTGAATCTTCAATGAATAAAACATATGCCTTTGAGTAGTCTACATATTCATTTAACACTTATAATGGATTTAAATCTTAACAGCAAAGTTTTGTTAATAATTTTGACCATTCACTAGATAATTCCAAAGAATAGACTAGCAATTTCAATGAAATTAGTATGGATATTTTTGAACAAGCTAGTAGTCAAAGAAGAGGAGGATAAAGTGGTTTTGAAAAAATTCAACTTAACCCCTTCAATAAAAAAATGTCTTCCTATTACAATGGTGAGGAAACAATAAAGAAAACTAAATTGTTTTCACAACTTAATAATAATGTAAATGAAGATAAAGAATCTCATAAAGATTCAAAGGGTGGAATCAGTCTTTCTTTTAAACTAGATAAAGCTAATGACAAAAAGTAGAGCAACGAAGAGGCTAAAAAGAAAAAAAAGGAATAAGTAGCCTAATTGGAATATTTACCTTACAATTTCGACTGATTAAGACTAATATACGTTAGTTGCTTTTGCTCTTTAAAATTGATGAGCGATGGTCAATCATTAAAATTATAAATTGAGCTATAAATAAAGTAGATCAATATATATCAAACTTTGCTATTGTATGATTAATTTTGAAATTTATTATTTTTATTAAATTACATTAATCTTTATTCATGGGGTTTTGGGGTTTTGGGG